TGCACTCTGAGAAGCTTGACGCAGCTGAAATCAGCGTGATTCTGGTCTCTGCCTGGGCTGAGGCAGGGGTGAGGGGCCTGGGCCTGGTGCTGCAGAGTGGGTGGGATGTGCGAGTGGCATCCGGAGAAGTGGGGCCTGGGGACAAGAGTCTGGCCAGCAGAGCTTCCCTTCTCTGCCACAAGTGACCAGCAGCAGCACCCTCAGGGACCCTCCCTCCTCCAAAGGCTCAGGTCCCCCATCCGAGAACACAGTGGCTGCGTGACAGACAAGGGGACCCAGCAGGCCACGGCCACCACAGGCCAGTGGACTTCCTGGAACTGGCTGGAACCCTGGGGTCACCCTGTGTGTCTCAGGGGCTGTGGGGCCTGAATCCCCATCACTGCCAATTACTGGCTGGGCCCAAGAGCTGTGAGGCTGCACCCAGGCCAAGGAGGTCTACAAACTGCTCACCCCACTGGCCGTGTTTTCCCCTCAGCCCAGATTTCTCATCCTTTGCCAGAGACCAGGGCCAGCAGGACTGGCTCCTCTGGTGCCCCAGATGGTAGCCAGGAGGGGGCTAAGTATGCCGAGGTCCTTTGCCTCATTGCAGACCGTGGCAGGCCCTGAGAGCCAGGGCGGCACCAGATCCGGACAGGCAGCTCCAGACTGTGCTCCTGGAAGAGACTTGGCCTGGGACAGGCCAGACTCCAAGGACTCCTGGGGAAGATAGAGAGGGACCCCTGCATTGAAGGACAGTATCTCATGCCCCAGCCTGAGGTTGGGAGGACCCACGCCCAAGTCAGACATCAGTGGAAAGTTGAGTCTGGGAGGAACCCAGGGCTACAAGGCGTGGAGGGTTGGACAGCCTTGGCCCCATTGCCCCCTCCCCAACCCCAAATCAGAAGCCCTGAGCCCCAGAACAGCCGCCTGTGGAGGAAATACCCTCCTTCAAACTCATCTCCCTGGCAAAGGCTGTGCATCCTTCCCCTTCCTCCCTCAGCCTGCTCTAGGGCCTGCCCCAGGGGTAAAACTAAAGTCCACATTTCAGTGATTTGGGAGCTTGAGTCTGCCCCACACTTGGGAAGCACCTTGCCCCCAGCCAGCGTTCCCAGGACTGAGTCCCCAAGACCAAGTCCCCAACCCCCAGCCTTGAGGTGGGTTCCTGTGGTGGGCGAGCCTCCTTCCCGGTGGAACAGAGGCCTGGAGCCTGTCTTGGGGCAAGAGCGGGCAGGCCGGGCAGGCCGAGCATCCAGGACCTGTTCTGGGACGTGCCAGCCCGTCCAGGAGCATCGGCCCAGACTGACTCAAGGAGTGGCAGGGCCCGAGGCTGTGGCTGGGCTTCCACTCCTCCTCTCTCCAGCCTCCCCAGTGGCCCCACCGTGGGTCACAGGGTGCCAGGGGTCAAAGGCAGGCTGGCTCATTTCTCTCTTCCTTCCAAAGCCCCAGGATCATGATCATAGTTACTCTGGACCCTAGTCTGGGGTCTCAGCCTCCTCAAGCTCCCCTGGGCCACATCCCCGGAGACAGGCAGGGATCAGCACTGAGCCTCACCCAAAACTTCCTGGGCCCTGAGCCTCTCCACAGGGCAAAGGCTCTGGTCTGGGGTCCCTGCATAGGGCTGGGGAGAGAGTGGCTGAGACCCTCAGGAGGGAGGCACTCCAGGATCCCACAACAGCTGGGCCAGAAACCCCTCCAGAGGCAGCCGGGGTCAGTCATCAATGAGGGCAACAGTTTGGACGGGACGGGAGGGTACCTGGAAAGGAAGCCCCAGTGCCCTGGGGAGGAAAGGATCCTATTAGTTACTATGCCAGTCACTAGTCATATGTCAAAAACAAATCTGTGGAATTCCTGAGTCTATATATCCATGGGCAGTAGGGGGAAAGTTCAGTGCTTTTACAAAGAAGCAAAGTCCTGGCAAAGGTCAAATAGTAGACTAGTGCAGGGGTTGCGAGCTCTGCCTTGGAGTTTGAATTCTAACTCTGTCACCCACTAACTGTGACCTGGGGCGAGTTAACCTTTCTGAGCCTCAATTCCCTCATCTGTAAAATGGGAGGAGGCGAGAGGCTGTCTCATGAGGCCGTGAGGGTATCCATCAAGTTAGATTATGGAATGTGCTCTGTACAGCACTGTCAGTCTAAAAAATGACACCAGAGAAAATTACCTCTAGACATGTTGAGTTTACTCCGGGATGAGGATTGTAACCTAGCATGTAGAATGGCAGGCCACCAGCGAGTCCAGCGAGGGGAGGGTAAAGGGAATCTTGTACTAGCAAAAAGGGAGAGGTTCACATAAGCTGCTTAGAAATATTGGTCGTTGGTCCCAGAGGCTCAAAGCCAGAGTTGTCAGCTCGTTGGTGGAGACGCCATTACCGGGCAAGAGGTTTTTCTTGGAGAGCATCTTATGTGAATGACTGCCGTCCTGAAGGATGTCTCGTGATAAACCTTGTCAGAGCAGGTATGTGAAGGATGTGAAATGGTTTTCTGTGACATTTTTAGAAAGTCCTTGGAAACAGTTCTCATCTCAGGCACATACGTATGAGCCTCCTGTCTTTTGTGTCTTCCTGGCCCTGTTTTGTCTGGGTCTGACAAAATTGATTTCATCCTGGTATCTGCAACGTTCACAGTTCCTAGAAACATAACAAGCACTTAATAAATAGTAATAAGAGTAATTACCTAGAACCTGCTGAATTTTTTCCTAAGAATTCTTCTATGAATTCTACAAGTATTAACATCTTTAGCCTCAGAATACCCTGTGAAGTCCACGCTATTATTATTCCCACTAGAGATGAGGAAACAGAGGCACAGAGAAGTTTAGTGACTTGTCCAGGGTCACACAGCAAGTAAGTGACAGGACCAGAGTTTAAATCCAGATAACCTGGCTGCAGAGTCTGCCTTTAACTCCCCATAAAGACCAGTCATTGTAACCATTGTCACAATAATACAATGCTCTAGGTGCTCTACTTAGCGATGGTCTTAGAGGTGAAGAGAATTGGGATTTCACCCTGGGAAAAATAACCTGCCAGGGAATGGTGGGCTTTCTGAGGTTGAGAAGCTCTCAGTGGTGGGAGGGAGAAATGAACAGCAGTCCTCAAACTGGGGACACTTCTTAGTAGCCCCAAGTGGCTTTAGAGCAGCCCACGGGCTGTGGACCTGTGGAGCCTCGGTCTGGCCCAAGGAGCTGGGGAGCGAGGCCAGGCTGCCTCTGCCCTTCCCGGGTCTCAGAGTGGGGCAGTGAAACCCGGCACCCCACAGGGCCCCCACATCCCAGACACCACCTTCGCAGGGCAGGCTGGGAAGGAATCTGGGTGCAGGGAGGAAATGGAAGCCAGGTGTCTAAAAATGCCTTAAGTCCCTGCCAATTACAACCTCTGGCTTAAGATCTACAGAGTTGAAATGTTGCTGCTGTCATTGGAGTTAATCCCAGAGAAGAGAGAAGCAAGCTACCTGGATGGGGGAGAGTTCGTGTGCTCTGATGGGGAGCTGACAGCAATGACAGGGACACTCAGCACAGAGCCACAGGAAAGGGAAGATGCTGGGTGGGGCTGTGAGTCACGAGTGGCTTTGCTTTGGCTTGTCATCCTTTATGGGTCTTTATGGGGAGTGTGTCCCCGTGGGTGCTGGGCCGGCCCCGAGCAGGCAGCACCTGTGCAGAGCAGAGACCAGTTTGTTGCGAGCACTGAGACCTTCTGACCACACGCGTGACGTGCGTGGGTCTGGTGTGGGGAGGGTGCAGCGCAGGAAAGAGCTTTGTTCCCGCGAGTCTGTCTCCCAACGAGATGCCCGCCCGGTGTCCACCATGCAAGTGCCGTGCTGCTTCTACTCCCTCAGGGTGGGGACAGAGGGATGGAGGGACAGTAAGGGGCCCAGAAGGTCGAACTCACTTAGTGTGGTGGGGGTCTTCTGTGGGTTCTTCACCAGGCCTGCCACGTTGCACATCTCCAGGGGTTAGCATTCATACCTACCACACCGTGGCCCTGAAGGGTCCCCTCCTGGGTGGGTGCTCCCACCGCATCATTCCCGGAGCAGGTGATGCTCCTTCCTGACAGCCCCCCATTCTGATGGCCCTCCCTCCCACGCGGGCTCTGCCTGCTGGGCCCACGTGCCCCACAGGAGGCCGCCCCCGCCCCCCACAGCCTCCTTTTCAGGATGACTCAAGGCCAATGACCTTGGAGTCAGCCCAGAGAAAAAATGCCCCTTTGTCCTGCCAGACCCATTTGAGTGAGTTATCTCAGGTCTCAGGGAATTATTACGAGAAACCTGTGCAGGGTGCCCAGGAAGAGCCATGCAGCTGGGCCCCAGGAAAAACAGAAACCCAAGGCCCCCCCTGGATCCCAGCAGTGCCAGGGATACCCCCCAGTGCCTTGTCCCCAACAAGATTCAGCCATGCCCCACCTGCCTCAGTTCTTCCTCCTGCCACCCACCCTCCACTCGCTTGCTCCTATCTCTGCCCTGGGAGTCTCTGTCCACTCAGCTTCCTCTCCCTGGTGGCTTGTCCTCGTGAACATCTTAATCCCAGTGACCTTTCATCCACAGCACCCCTTCTCCCTGTAACGGGCTGAGGGATCTTGGAGTTTCCTCGTCTGCACCCCAGTCAGTGCTGAGGGGCTGAGCTCCATTGTAGTGCCTGTGGATGTCACCCGGGGCTCAGCACCCCTTTGAGTCCTGCACCTGCTTTCTGTCTGGAAGGGCTGGAGGCAGGATGCTGGGCAGCAGGGCTATGCTTCTCCAAAGGGCTGCCCTCCCTGGGGGCTCTGGGTGTGGCCAATGTCAGACTGACCAGCGTGGTGGCTGCTCCTTGGCCTCAGTTCCTTGCTTTGTCCACAACGCTATGCAATCCTGTCCCTAAAGCAGAGGGAGCCCCACAGACTTCATCCCTGGGGGTCTGCCATTCCCTAATTGCTGCAGTCCAGAACCAGGACCTCAAGGGCAGTGGTGGACAAAGGCCAGTTGGTCCCCAGAGCACCTCCCCAGAATGCTGGGCAGCACAGCAGTGTCACCAAGTGCCGGGGACTTGGTGAGGACATGTCTGCAGCCAGAGACTCCCACGGCCCAGCAGCTGTGGGCATGGGTGAGGTGACAAGCCGCGAGGACTCGGTAGATTGATTTCTCTCTCCAGGGGGAGGCCTCTGCCTACTGCCGGCTCACCATAAGGGTCTTGGAGGCGCGGAACCTGCCCAGGGCTGACCTGAGTGAGTAACGGTCTCCTGGGCCCCAGCGGGTGCAGAGGGGACAGGCTCCCATGGAAGAGGCCCAGACAAGTGCCCTGGGGCTGGTCGGGGCCACCCTGGTGCCCACCAGAGTCTGGGCAGGACACTGGCGTGGCCCCTGGAGAGGCGTGTGAGTTCTGCCTCACAGCGCTTTCTCGCCTTCGGCAGTGAGCAAGGCAGACCCCTACGTGGTCCTGCAGCTGCCAACCGCACCGGGTATGAAGTTTAAGACCAAAACGGTCACCAACTCCAGTCATCCAGTGTGGAATGAGACCTTCAGCTTCCTAATCCACAGTCAGGTCAAGGTAAAGGCCAGGGCACCCCTGGCCACTCACCGGGAACAGGTGGTCTCCCCCCAGGGAGGGCTTTAGTGGAACACACATCCTCCGGGACTCTGGCAGGGAGAGTCGGGAGGAGGGTGTCTTTGGGGCCCCGTCCCTGTGTGTTGTGTGCGAGAGAACCTGTGAATGAATGAACAATATGGTTATTTTTATTTTGAAGTACAAAAGTGTGGAGGCATGAGACCCTTTTCTGCACATGCAGTAAGCGTCCAACAGAGGTGAGCTATTATCGTTGCTATGAGTAGATAATGTGCTGAGTGCTGTTCCTGGTCCCTAGAATGTTCTGGAGCTTACTGTCTACGATGAGGACTCAGTCACGGAGGACGACATCTGCTTCAAGGTGCTCTATGACATCTCAGAAGTCCTCCCTGGCAAGCTGCTCCGGAAGACCTTCTCCCAGCGTCCCCAGGTGTGTGGGGAAGTCCCCGTGGGCTCAAGGCTGAGGAAGTTGCTCAGTTTGTCCCACCTGTTTGGAGGCTGCTGGGTCTACTCACCCACAGGAAGATGGAAACCCCTCCCAGAGATATTTGCATTTTGATAAGAAAGGAGCAGGCTTAACCTTACAGTTACAGACTGAATCACCCAGTGGAGGAATTTTAGTCATCTGTGGCGGGAAGGTTTTGGGAGGTGGAGAACTTCCTAATGTCCCTCAAAAACCAACCCATGGAGCAGCTTTGTGAGGGTCTTGGTGCCCTCCCTGCTGCAGGCAGGGGCTGGGGGAGGGCAGAGTTCTGGGGGCTTGCCCCTCCGCTAGAGGAAGAAGAAGGGCCATGTGCATGACCATACCTCCTTTGGCTGTGCTCCTGGTCTCCCCTCCAGCCCTGCTCAGAGTTCTGGGACCCAGGGGGAGGGAGACCTGTTCTCTGCGGACTTACTAGCTGTGGGTAGCATGGGCAGGCAGCCCATCTGGCCCTGCACTCGGTTTCCTCAGCTGCAAATTGGGAATGATTGCACTAACGTGCCTCCTGGAGAGACCGCTTGAGATGATGAGATAATGTCTATAAAAGACTGTGTCACCTCCAGAGCCACATGAAAGTGTGACTGACTTGCTCATTCTCCGGGGTTTCAGGGAGAAGAGGAGCTGGACGTGGAGTTCCTGATGGAGGAAACGTGAGTACTACCGCACAGCCCAGGGCCCAGGCTCTATTTGGGGAAATGGCCCTGACCCCGATCTCCCTATGGTCAGCCCAGCCGGGATGTGCTGTCCCTCTTCTCCCACCCTGCCTGACAGGTGGGGTGCGGTAAGGGTCCTCCTAGGGAAATGAGGACAGGGAGGCCTTGTTTCCTCCCCCTGCTCTCTCCTCACCTCTCCTCCTGCAGAAGCACCTCCCCTCCCAGGACTTACAGAGCCCTCAGCACCACCCAGGGAGACCCCACATGGGTGGCAGGGGGCAGGCCAACGCAGGAAGCATGTGCCTTTGCAAGGCCTGACTCTGGATGGTTTGATTTTTCCAGGTTGGACCGCCCAGAAAACCTCATCACCAACAATGTCCTTGTGGTAACTGCCTTCCCCAGCCTAGGGGAGGGGCCCAGGGCAGACACTTGGGGTGGAGGGGCAGCTGCCAGGGTGTGGACCAGAAGGGACGGGCAGGGGCAGGGCTCTGTGGGAAGACCACCCCTGAGGCTCTGGGTGATGGAGGGGCCTGGAGCCGAAGGGCACATGGAGAAAGGGTGGGCAGGGCTCTGCTGAAAGGAGGTTCTGGCCTGAGCCTGGATGGCTGAGGGACCATTGGAGAATTTCAGGTGCTTCCTGATAGTGTTTAGTCATATGAGATGAACTCATGAATTTGGAGTCCTCAGGGATTGACTCCAAGCTCTTCCCCAAAAGTGATGAAGAAATCTCGCAGCCCGGGCCCACCTTCAGCTTGTTAATGCCCAGGTCCCCGAGGCTCAGCGGGAGGTTCCAGTGTGCTGTGCTTCCCATCTAGGAGACTGAGGGAGGGACCAGAGGGTCAGCCAGCTCCTCCTTGGGACACTGGAGCCTCAGGAGCACCAGGCGGCAAGTCAGTGGTACATTAGAAGCTTTATGCTCCAAGCGTGGCCCTCAGACCAGCAGCACCTGGGAGCAGACAGGCCTGTGGCCCCACGCAAAGCATAGAGTTTAAGGAGGTGCTCGTTCCCAGGGGCCAGCAAATGCCTGTTTGATGGGCTCATAGTACTTTTTAAAAATACGCATTAAAATAAAGTCACGCCTATGGCACTGCCTCTTAGGAGGTGATGGAGACCAGCCGTGGGTTGGTGAATCTGGCGGTTCTATGGGGAGTGGGCAGCGGGAGTCAGCTGGCATGCGTCATAGACAGCGTGCAGGGGGCACATTCGACAATCAGTTAAGTGGACGATGGTTAGGACATAGTCTAGTTGCTGTAGTTTTACCTGTTTCTGTGACATCTGTTCCATCATCCTGCAGACCACTGGTTTGTTTACACCATTTGGGAGTTGCTATAGTAGAATACGTGCTCCAGGCTAAGGCTGCAGAGAAACATGGAGCAGAAAGAACCATGTCTGAGAGCTGGGGGGGGGGGGGGCTTTCAGGGATTCCAGAAGTTTTGCAAAGCCAGGAGAGTGGGGAGCGGGTGTGCAGCCAGGGCTCTCCTGGCCGCTCCAGAACATCGGGCTTAGCAGTCGCAGTGGGTGAGAGATGGGTGAAGGGTTTCTGTGTTCAGTCCCATTCTGAACCCCACTTCTTGTCCAGTGTGTGGTGGAATTGGGACAGTGGGGCACAGAGGGTTGAGGTTGAGGGGACCTCAGCTTACTCTGCAGAGCCCCCTGCCCATGATGTGATCTGTCCCAGGCCCGAGAGCTGTCATGCCTGGACGTGCATCTGGACCGCACGGGGAGCGCTGCCGTGGTCGCAGGTGAGACCTGCTCGGCACCAGGTCTGGCCCTGCTTGGAGCATGGGACAGATGAGGGTTGCTGGGAAACCGCACAGGGCGGGAGGCCAGCAGCAGGGTGGAGCTGGCCTCTCCCTTCTTGGCCACACAACACAGAGGCCACATGTCTCCTCCAGGCAGGAGAGTCCCCTGACCTGGGGAGAGCACGTTGCATGGGGGTTGTGGGGCCCTGCAGGCTGGGAGGGCCCCTTTCAGAATCCTGTTTATGACGGTCCAGCCTCCAGGGCCTCCCCCATGTCCAGGCAACACTGCTGGCTCCCCAGGTCCGAGCTGGGGTCTGGGCTGTTTTACTCCTCATGCTAACCTGCCCGCTTTCTCCCTAGATCAGTTCAAGCTGGAGCTGGAGCTGACACTGAAGGGGTCATATGAGGACACACAGACATCGGCCCTGGGCACAGCCTCTGCCTTCTGCTTCCACTACATGCCAGCCCAAGAGACAGAGCTGAGTGGGCACCTGAGGGTGGGTCTTGGCTCTAGAAGTCTCCCACCAATCCCAGCCTTTGGTCAGCTCCAGCCTCTGCGGGCTTCTCTCTGGCCTGTCTCCCTGCCCCCCAAAGGCCAGGCCCCCTGTGACCTTGCCAGCTTCTCCCAGTTGGGCATGCACCCTGGGCACACCACACCCGAGGGCCAGGCAGGCAAGGGGACTGCTACACCACATCAGCCTTTGTTGGAGTCCTCCACTGGCTTCTCCAATGATGCCCTTAGAATAAAACCTGATGTCTGCACCCACAGGCCCTGCACAGCCTGGCCCTGCCCAGCGCTGCTGCCTCATTCTGTTCCACGCCCTGCCCCATGCATGACGCTCCAGCCATACTTGTCTCCTACTGTTCTTTCCAACACGCCAAGTGTTTTCCCTGCCCATGGCTGACTCCTTCCACATCTCGGCTCAAATGGCTCCTCTTTAGAGGAGCTCTCCTTGCCCCTCACCTCCAGAGACCCCACACACAGCCACCTGTGGTTACTCCATCGTATCACACGGCTTAGTTCCTTCCCGGCACTTACTCACATCAGTCCATCACCTGTGTCTTTGTAAATTCACACGTGATTCAGTGAGAGTAATACCTGTGCACTAAATAAATATTAGCTGATATTATTTTCTAATGATTAGTAATTATAATTACATTAATTGCAATTATTTTTATAGTATCAAGGAGGGACTGTGTCTGTCTGGATCGCAGTCTAGATACACAGGACTTGTGAAATGAAATGAATGAATAAACGAATGAATATTTCCCTCCAGAGCTCCACAAGCAATGTCTGGAACTGGAATAATTCAGCTTGGCACCTCACTGTGCCCCTGAGGTCCTTGGCCGTGGGGAAGGAGGTGACCGTTGATGTTCCTGCTGCAAATGTAAGTGGCCTCAACTGCATGGGAAGTGCCAGCGAGGATGAAGATGGGGGAGTCCAAGGCCCCAGGGGATACCATGTGCCCCTCCGGGTCTAGGGCAATCTGAGCAGGGTCTCTTGCTTTGATTTCAGGCCCCAGGAGTGAGGCTGCAGCTCAAGGCAGAGAGCTGGTGAGGGGCATTTGCGTCTGTGGGAGACAGGGAGAGGTGGTGATGGGGGAGAGGAGTGCTGTGGGAAAGGGTGTCCTTGGGAGTGGAGCAGGGACGTAACTTGGCTGCTTGTTGTGGGCTTGGCCAACCAGCTGTGCAGGCACCCCCTGACCCTTGGATCTTCCTCTGCCCCAGCCCCAAGGAGCTGGCCGTGCACCTGGGCTTCGATCTGTGTGCAGAGGAGCAGGCCTTCCTGAGCAGGAGGAAGCAGGTGGTGGCCAGGGCCCTGAAGCAGGCCCTGCAGCTGGACAGAGACCTGCATGAGGATGAGGTCTGGGGGCGTAGTGGGGTTGTGTGTGCAGACACTCTGGACTAAGTTTAAGGGCGAAACTGATTCCTGTGCCTCTCCAGACATGCAGTCAGCAGACAGTGGAGAGTGGGCGTAGTTTTGGGGGCATGGGTAAGCTTTGGGGTTCCCACTCCCTTTGGGGCTCTATCCTGGGCTGAGAGCTGTCACTTTCAGAATAGGGGCTGGACCCAGCTCTAACCCTGACTCCACCAGGCCCTGACCACAATGTCCCTTCCATGGAGGCAGGGAGCAGGATGAGGTCCTGGGTAAGGTGGGGGGCAGCTCATCTTTGTCCGTGTTAAGTCACCTTGTGTCTGTGTGCGGTCCAGGTCCCTGTTGTGGGCATTGTGGCCACAGGAGGAGGTGCCCGGGCCATGACAGCACTCTATGGCCACCTACTGGCCCTGCAGAAGCTGGGACTTCTGGACTGTGTGACCTACTTAAGTGGCACCTCAGGCTCTACATGGTAAGGGGCCTGGGGCCTGGAGCAGCCTAGATGATCAGAGCCCGGGGGGTGGGGTGGGCAGAGTAGACACCAGAGGGTCCCTCTATATGGGAAAGCAGAGTAGGTGGGAGCAATGGGGTCTGATGGTCCCAAGTGGCTTTCTCACAGGAGGGAAACAGTCCTGCCATGCACAAGGCCATGCATGAGGTCCAGATGCTACTGAAGAGCTGTGAGGTAGCCAACTCAGAAGGAGCTGGGCTTGAGCTTGGCAACACCACATACTAGCTGGGTGACTTTGAGCAACCTGTCTCCTCTGATTCTCAGTTGACTCATCTCCAAAAGGGGCAATAATAATACATACTATGACTGTGGCATAGCCCAGGCGAAACACTTAGCTAATGCTGGACACAACCAGGAGCTCCAAATTGGTAACTCTTTTTTTCTTTCATTGTTATTACCTCATTTAATCCAATTTGGAGCTCACATAGCCACAAGTGGTTTTAGTTTTTTTCTTTTGGGATTTTTTTGTTTGTTTGTTTGTTTGTTTTTGAGACAGAGTCTCACTTTGTTGCCCAGGCTAGAATGAGTGCCGTGGCGTCAGCCTAGCTCACAGCAACCTCAAACTCCTGGGCTCAAGCGATCCTCCTGCCTCAGCCTCCCGAGTAGCTAGAACTACAGGCATGTGCCACAATGCCCAGCTAATATTTTCTATATATTTTTTAGTTGGCCAATTAATTTCTTTCTATTTTTAGTAGAGACCGGGTCTCGCTCTTGCTCAGGCTGGTCTTGAACTCCTGACCTTGAGCTATCCACCCGCCTCGGCCTCCCAGAGTGCTAGGATTACAGGCGTGAGCCACCTCACCTAGCCAAACATGCAGTTATTGATCGCTTGAAATGTGGCTAGTCCTCACTGAGATGTGTCATAAATACACTGTGAACTTTGAAGACTTAGTTTGAAAAAATACAAATTTGTCAATAACTTTTATATTGATTACATGTTAAAATGATTTTTAAATACTTATTATTAAATTAAAATAAATATAGTATTAAAATGAATTTTTACAGATTTTTAACAAACTTTAAATGTGGTGACTAGGAAATTTAAAATTACATACGTGGCTCACATTATTTTAATGTTGGACAGTGCTGATCTAGGAGAGGAAGCTCTTTGACACACTTTTCAGAGAGGCAGAGCCTTGGCGGCAGGACCAAGCACTGGGAGAAGCTGGAGGGTGGGAAGGAGGAGTTGCCATGCCCCATGCTGGGCCTTAGTCTCCTACAGTCCTGTTCTCTTATTCTCCCAGGACAATGGCCCACCTATACGGGGACCCTGAGTGGTCTCATGGGGACCTCGAGGGTCCCATCAGACATGCCCGGGAGCACCTTGCCAAGAGCAAACTGGAAGTCTTCTCTCCAGAGCGCCTGGCAGGCTACCGCCGGGAGCTGGAGCTGCAGGCTGAGCAGGGCCACCCCACGACCTTTGTGGACCTGTGGGCCCTGGTGCTGGAGTCCATTCTGCACGGCCAGGTAGGGTCCCCGCGTGTGTGGGGCGGAGCTTATGTGCACCAGAAGGGTCAGGGCACCCGAGCAGCTAACAGGCGCATGCGCATTTCCCACAGGGTGGAAGAAGCAGTGTTTTGATTGTCTGCTTGGCTTTGGGACGCTGCCTTCCAGACAGCTAAGGTATTCTTAAATTAATCGTCATGAAACAGAAATTTCTGGATCTCCCAAGAGCTAGGGATCAGTCACTGTCAAAGTCAGTTAAGCAAACAAAGCTTTTGCGTTGGTCTTAGATTTAAATACTTAGTATTTGTGTTTGGTTTTAGATTTAAATCTTCAATCCATTTTTAGTTGATTTTTTTATATGATAAAAGATAGGGATCTACTTTCATTCTTCTGTATATGGATATCCAGTTTTCCCAGGACCATTGATTAAAGACACCATTTCCTTTGCCCAATGTATGTTCTTGCTGCCTTTGTCAAAAGTGAGTCAACTGTAAATGCATAGATTTATTGTGGCGTTCTCTATTCTGTTCCATTGGTCAATATGTCTTTTTTTATGCCAGTATCATGATGTTTTGGTTACTATGACTTCGTAGTATAATTTGTGGTCAGGAAGTGTGATGCCTCCAGCTTCGTTCTTTTTGCTCAGGATTGCTTTAGCTATATTCAGTCTTTTGGTTCCATATAAATTTCAGGATTATTTTTTCTATTTCTGTGAAGAATGTCATTGGTATTTTGATACAGATTAGATTGAATTCGCAGATCACTTGGGTAATTTGGACATGTTAACAGTATTAACTCTTCCAATCCATGAGCATGATGAGTATGGAATATCTTTCATTTTTTGTAGGTCCTCTGCAATTCCTTTCATCGGTGTTTTATAGTTTTCTTTGTAGAGATCTTTCACTTCTTTGGTTAAATTTATTCCTACGTGGGTTTTTTTGTTTGTTTTTATTGTTGTTGTTGTTGTTGTTTGAGACAGAGTCTCACTCTGTTGCCTGGGCTAGAGTGAGTGCCATGGCGTCAGCCTAGCTCATAGCAAGCTCAAACTCCTGGGCTCAAGCGATCCTTCTGCCTCAGCCTCCCAAGTAGCTGGGACTACAGGCATGTGCCACTATGCCCAGCTAATTTTTTTCTGTATATATTTTTAGTTGGCCAATTAATTTCTATTTTTAGTAGAGACGGGGGTCTCACTCTTGCTCAGGCTGGTTTTGAACTCCTGACCTTGAACGATCTGCCAGTCTCGGCCTCCCAGAATGCTAGAATTACAAGCATGAGCCACCATGCCTGGCCTCCTAGGTGTTTTTTGGGGGGGGGATGGGGGAAGCTATTATAAATGGGATTGCTTTCTTGATTGCTTTTTCAGATCAATTACTATTAGTGTATAGAAACACTACAAATTTTGTATGTTGACTTTGTATCCTGCAATTTTACTGAATTCATTTATCACTTGTAAGAGTTTTTTGGTGGAGTCTTTAGGTTTTAAATTTAATTTAATGAATAAATAAATTTATTTACTTTAGAGATAGGGTCTTATTCTGTTGCCCATGCCATAAGTACAGCAGCACAATCATAGCTCATTGTAACCTTGTACCACTTCAATATTATTACTTGTTATTGGTCTGTTCAGATTTTCTAATTCTTCATGGTTCAGTCTTGGTAGGGTGCATGTGTCCAGGAATTTATCCATTTCTTCTAGGTTTTCCAATTTACATAATTTTAATGTATGTATCCTTAAGAAAAAATAATATCATTTGCATGAACAATTTTATACAAGTCTCCTTATACACACGAATTAGAGATTCTCTAAGCTTCCAAGATACGTACCCAGTAATTGAATTTTTCAGCCATTCGGTCCATGCACCTTCAACTTCCCTAGCTATTGCCAAACTGTTCTCCAAAGGAGTTGTATTAATTCACATTCCCACTACTGGTGTATAATAATTCCTTTTTTCTCTACATCTTCTGTAGAATTTTAAATTTTTATTCAACTATGGGTATGAAAGGAAAGTTTATCATAGTTTTGCATTTCTTTGATTTTTAGTGAAACTATTCATATTTTCAAGTACATTTATCATTTGTGCTTCCTCTCCCATGGATTACCTACTTAAATACTTTTCCATTTTCCAATTTAATTTGTCTTTTTCATATTGTTTTGCAGGAATTCTTTATATATTCTCTATATTAATCCTTTATCAGTTATAATGGTTTTAATGCATAATTTTAATATAATCTAAGTTATCATTCTTTTCTTTTACAGTTGGTGCTTTGGGGAGTTTTCCTTTCCTCTTCCCCAAAGTTATAAAATACCTTTCTATATATTCTTATAAAAGTTTTAAAGATTTGTTTCTTACAAATACGACTTTAATCCACCCAGAATTTATCTTCAGATATCACATGCACAAAGATCCAATTTTATTTTTTTCTCATATGGATAGCAAATTTTCCCAGTCTCATTTATTGAATTTTTTTCTCCTTTTATCTGCATTGCTGCTTCTGTTAAGTGTCAGGTGTCCCATATTCATGGGACTTTCGCTGAGTGCTCTCTTCCCTTCTAATGGGATTGATTCTCTATCTCTACGCCAACAGCACATGCACTTAATCACTGTAGTTTTGGGATAAATCCTGTTATCTGGTAGGGTAAGTTTACCCTCATCTGCCACCAGGTTTGTTCTTTGGAATTCTCTTGGCTGTGCTTGGCCCTTTGCTGTTCTAATTACATGATAAAATCAGCTTATCAAGTTTTGTGATGAATGTTGTTGGGATTTTGATTGAAATGGCATTGAATTTATAAAGCCTACTTAACTACTTTAAATATTTTTATTTTGTTACTGTGTCCTGTATATTCTTTGGATCTACTGTTTAAGTTCATATTCAGTGTTGAAGGTGTTGTGTTTTAATAGCTGACTTTTCTGCCTGGAGGCAACAATTAATTACTGTAGAGTGGGAGAATCTTGTTTTAACAGTTCACTTTACAAGGTACTAGAAATTGCAGTTTGATCTTAGGCTATAAAGAAGACTTTTATTTAATTATCATTTGATCCTCCAGTAATGACTTCACACATGGTTCTATGAATAAGGTTTATAGTCATTTTTTAAAACACAAACTTAATTAGTTTTGTATTGTTCATGAAAATAGAAATTCTTATGATATTATTATTGGACATCTATATATTCTTAAAAATGAGCACCTATGCTGTTTTAAGATTTTTGTCCCAACATGAAATGTTTTCAATTTATTGTTTCTTTTCTTCTTGGTTATCATGCCTTACCTCTTACAGATAACATTCATCGCAGGTTTTTAAAAATAATCTTTTATTCAGATAATTTTCATGTTATTTCTAATTTTTAAAATCTATAGATGGAACAGGTATATGTTATCTCTAAAGTACAAAAAGTCATTTAAAATTTTCAGAAAATATAACTCCATTCATGACAAATCACAATTTCATTAATATTAATATTAAGAAATATCACACCCTGAATTTTTACTCGGAACTTTATTAGTCTACACACGTCTCTAATATTGATTCAGTTTTTATAAAAACCTGCTTGTAAAATACACCAGTTATAATCTGAGCTTCCCAAACTATTTCTTTGAGACTATTTTCTTTAATCTTTTGCTGGCTATCACTGAACTGCTTAGAGGCTACTTATCAATCCACAAGGCAAAACTTACAGTTTTTCTCCTTTTCTTTTCCTGACTTAAGAAGATCTTGCACATTTTCCTTCAACTCTGAACAATAGTCTACCACACACAATGCCCAACCCACAACACGTTGCCAACACAGCACCAAGCTCCAAGGTTTCTGGTGGGACCTTGGATCATCAGAATGGTGTTCTGTAGGGTTGGGGATACTCACTTGGGACCTGGGAGGCTAGAGACTGAGTCCTGCCACAGCTTCCTGGTGAGCTATTAAAGGGTATACTGAGTGCTGTTTCAGTAAATGGAGGGGTGTGCTGACCCTTTTCCAAAACGTTCCCCAGGGCAGAAACTGTGCAATTTCAGTAAAAGTACCAATTTTCCTCCAACCACAGGTGATGGATCAGAAGCTGTCAGGACAGAGAGCCGCACTGGAGCGGGGTCAGAACCCTCTGCCTCTCTACTTGGGCCTCAATGTCAAGGAGAACAATCTGGAGACGCTCGACTTCAAGGGTACGGTCCTGTCCACTCCACCTTTCGCCATACACCACCCCCAAATCCTCTGTACTCTGAGAGTCCCCAGAGAAACTCCTGCCTAGATTGACCCATCTTCTGGAAAAGTGGTGGTGCCAATGGGCTCAGGGGCCAGCCAGGGGAGCTCTCTGTCCCTGGGGTGAGGCGGATTTGAGAATGTAGACAAGGCAGGGTGGGGGTGGTCAGCCCAAAGTGTGCATTCCCCATCTCTGCTGTGTCAGTGCCGGGCAGGAGGGAGACTGAGGCCTGCTGGGGGCAGTATCTTTGGCCCCCACCCAAGCTGGGGCTCCCCCAGTTCAGTCTTCTCACAGCCCTGCTCTCCCTCCCACCCCATCAGAGTGGGTCGAATTCTCCCCCTACGAGGTCGGGTTCCTGAAGTACGGGACCTTCATCCCTCCCGAGCTCTTTGGCTCCGAGTTCTTCATGGGGCGGCTGATGAGCAGACGCCCTGAGCCCCGGATCTGCTTTCTGGAAGGTGAGAGTGTCACTCTGAAGGCCCTGCCCAGTCCAGGCCAGGGCTCTGGATGGACACGGCTCCTGTAGCCAGGTCTGGACAGAGCCCCAGGAAGAAGGGTGGGTTTGGGTGGTGAGGAATGTCCATTGCCAGGGCCATTTTCCACCAGCACCCAATGGTGGGGCCACTGGCTTCCAGGTGAGGGGAGACAGGGCGCTGGGGCCTGAGGGCTGACCTCTCTTGGGGGGTTGGCCGTCAGGTATCTGGAGCAACATTTACTCCCTGAACTTGCTGGACGCCTGGTATGACCTCACCAGCTCCGGGGAGGCCTGGAAGCAGCACATCAAGGACAAGATGAGGAACATAGGTGGGCAAGGGGCTCTCGGGGAGCCTGGGGTGAGGCTGCTCCTTTCAGACTCTGGTTAGGGGGCATCTGAGGGCAAGGAGGGCCAGGAATTTCCAGGTCTCCCCTAGACCAAGGTCTGTTTCTCTAGCTGCAGAGAAGGAGCCTCCGGCCTCTTCCGGCACCTCCTCGTGGCTGGATGCCTTGTGGCTGCAGCCGGGAACGGCCCTGGCCCAGGCATTCAAGGGCTTCCTGACAGGCAGGCCGCTCCACCAGCACAGCCCCAACTTCCTCCGGGGCCTCCAGCTGCACCAGGACTACTGCAGCCAGAAAGGCTTCTCCACCTGGGCAGGTAAGGGCTCTCCCCTTGGGTCCCCAGGTAACGTGATTGGGCTCCTGGCTGGGGATGAGGCATGGCTGGGCCTTGGGGGTCACAGCATCTACTTCTTGGGTGTGGCCTGGAGAAGATCCCCTTGGGTGGTCTTGGGGAAGGGTTGGGACCACATGTGCTTTCAGGGAGTGACCCAAAGGTAAGAAGGGGACGTGGAGGTAAGTGCAGGTGGATGACTGGTGGCAGGGTGGCTGCCTCTGACCGTCACTGCCTCTCCCACCAGACAGTCAACTAGACTCCACCCCCGGCCAGCTGACACCCCAAGAGCCCCAGCTCTGCCTGGTGGACCCCTGCTACTTCATCAACACCAGCTGTCCCCCCATGTTCCGGACAGGCCGCAGGCTGGACCTCATCCTGTCCTTCGACTACTCCCTGTCCTCGCCCTTTGAGGTGCCTCTGGTCACCCCACAGGAGCCCCTCTGCTCAGCCAAGCCAAGATCCAGGGGCAGGCAGCAGGGCCACTGAGCCATTGCTCCACACGTCCCAGGTCCCCAGAGGGAGGAAGGGAAGAAGGGGTGACAGGCCCTGATCCACTGGCTCCTGCCAGGGTCCTCGACTGGGAAGAGTTGTGTGGTGCTGGAGCTTCAGGCTCCCAGGACAGGTGAACAGGAAGGGAGACCTCTCCACACCTGCTCCAAAGAGGGACAGCTAGACAGAGCTGAGAGGAGACCCCAGGCATCTCCACATCCAGCCCCCCAGACCTCCCCTGGGGACTCTGCGCAGATGTAGGTCCCCTACAGAGGTCCTCTAGGCTCTGGGACTTGATTGATCCAGCAATAGCAATCCAGATTGGAGTGGGAGTGTGCTGGCTTTGTGTCCCACCTAAGATTTTAAACAATGTCACAGACCACAGGGATCCTCGTACTCCCTCCAGGTCTCCCTCCAAGGCACTATGCAGTTTAGCTGGGCCATGAACAGGACAGAACCAGGTTGCTATCTTAACACCAAGGCAGCCAGCTTGGGCTGGAACCATCCCAGCACTGATCTGGGCTGGCCTGGCCCTCTCTGGGTCACCCTCTCCCCACCAGGCGCTGCAGCAAACTGAGCTGTACTGCCGGGCTCGGGGGCTGCCCTTCCCTCGAGTGGAGCCCAGCCCTCAGGACCAAAGTCAGCCTGGGGAGTGCCACGTCTTCTCGGACCCCGCCTGCCCCGAGGCCCCTGTCCTGCTGCACTTCCCGCTGGTCAATGCCTCCTTCAAGGACTACTCAGCTCCTGGTGAGGCAGCCCATCCCTGGTAGCCAGGCAGCCAGTCCCACCTAGTCTTTGGACACCTGCCCTGGCCTCTGTCGCTGATGCCCATGTCCCTGCTGCATCCTCTGTTTGCAAGGTCACTGTGCTATTGTCCTCTCTGTCATGACCCCAGCCTCTTTTGGCCTCCCCTTCCCCTGGTACCCCTGGCAACCCCTCTGCCCTCCTGCTCTGTGAGGGGTTCAGTTGGCCTTTCTCCCATCCCACCCCTGCCCAGTCTGGGGCCCCCTTTGCAAAGGCCCCTGAAATCTAAATGCTCATCCCATGCCATCCTGTCCTCTCCTCTCACCGACTGGTCAGAATTTTATCTCCTTTTGGTGGGAAAACTAATTTCTGCCTTTGTGCATTATCCCCAGCCTTCTAGTTCCCGCCACAATTGCAAATCTTCCAGCTTTTCTGTTAACATGCTCAGCCCACAGCTTGGAATTCCAAAGAACTTTTCTCTCTCAGCAAAGACTGGTTCTTGCAAAACAGAAGCCCCCTTGTTTCCACTGTGAGCTTTGAGAATCTCTTCGCTAACCCAGTTGACTTCCTTGTTCTGGCTGCTTCCACCTCACCCTGGAGCAATGTACAGATACCGTGGGGTTGCCTGGGTAGGGGAAGAAGTGTCATGCATGCCTCAAGAAAATGTGGGAGTAGCAAACTCCTCATACCTTCAAATACTACCCTACTCCCCACATTTGTATTTCTGGGCAAAGGACACAGAGTTGAGGGGAGCAAGTGCTTCTCCAGTGGGGAGCAGCCTTCCCCCGTGCCCCAGCTGTGGGGGCCTCTGTGACCCTCCCTGATTCCCTCCCACTCCCGGCAGGTGTCCCTCGCAGCCCGGCAGAGCTCCAGGCTGGCCAAGTGGATCTCACCAAGGCCACCTCCCCCTACGCCCTGTTCAACATGACCTACAAGGAGGAAGACTTTGACCGCCTGCTGCGGCTCTGCGACTACAACGTGCGGAACAGCCAGGGCGCCATCCTGCAGGCCTTGAGGACTGCGCTGAAGCACAGAGCCCCAGAGGGGAGGCCTCCAGGGACGCAGACCTGAGGCTGCTCAGAGTCCCCAGGGCCCTGAGGTCCACGCTCTGACCCTCCAGGGGTTGGGGGCTTAACCCAATCTGCCTCTGGGCACAGCCACGCCCTCTGTGGCTGGAGTTCTGGGCTCTCCCAGACTTGGGCCACATCTGTAGCTGGTGTCACTGCCCAGAGGGGGCTGCACCCCCCCCCCCCGCAGAGTTCTTCCTTATGTTGACAGCTGTTTTGAGAAGAGTTGAAAATAAACTTCACCAGGCCAGTGTGTAGAACGGCTGGTTCAACCAGATACAGTTATAATCACTTTCATGCCTGAGCAGAGTGAGTTTGGGGTGTAAGCTGCAGGTGTCATATCAGGAGTAGGGACAAGAAGGGCTGGAGATGGTCTGACCTGACAGGTGGCCTAGGGCATCAGAAACCACAGTATGTCCCGAACATATTCCCTCCCCTTCCCTCTCCCCCACTGCCGCTGCCTCCCGTTTTCAGAGTGCAAGTCTTGTACTTGCTCAGTTAAATTTATTCCTAAGTATTTTATTCTTTTTGATGATGTTATACATGGAATTATTTTCTGAATTTCATTTTCAGATTATTCATTGACATTTTATAGAAATACAATTGATTTTTGTGTATTGATCTTGTATTCAGCAATCTTGTTTATTGGCTCTAATACTTTTTTGTGGATTCCTTATAATTTTCTATAGACAACAAATAGATATGGTTTGCTTCTTCCTTTCTGATGGGAGTGCTTTTTATTTCTTTTTCTTTCCTAATCACCCTGACTGGAACCTCCAGCACAATGTTAAATAGACGTGGCCAGAACACACATCCTTGTCTTCTTCCTGATATTTGGAGGGAAGCAATATGTCTCTTAACACTCAATAGGGTATTAGCTTTGGGTTTTTCTTACACATCCCTTATCAGGGTGAGGAAGTTCCCTTTTCTTCCTAGTCTATTGAGTGTTTTTATCATGAAAAGGTGCTAAATTTTGTCAAATTATTTTTCTGTGTCTACTGAGATGACCATGTGGGTTTCGTCCTGTGTTCTATTAATATGCCGTATTGCATTGATTGATTTTTGGATATTAAACCATCCTTGTATACCTGGGACAAATTCTACTTAATCGTGATATATAATCCTTTTTATGGTTTGAGGGAACACTTCTAACCTCCCTCACTTAAGGGCACACACGCACACACACGCTCACACACAACTGTGGCTACCTGGGCCCCTGGGGGAGGGGGTCACAATGGGAGCTTCAGGACAGACCTCGGCTCAGGGATTGCCCTCATCCTCTGCCTCATCTGTATTTGGCTTTATTTTGATTCTCCATTTTCCATATTTTATCATAAACTCTTATGTTTTTAACAATGACAGTGATGCAATTTACTGGCTGTTGTATTTTATTTTATGCCATTATGTAAAATGCATAAATAATGCATTTTACATTATCTCCCTTAATTCTTACAGCTGCCTTAATGTGTTAGGTGGTATTATCTCCATGTTATCAAGGATGAAACTCAGCCATGAGAAAAGAAAAAAAGTATCCCCTGACTCAGTTTTCTGGGAGCCGACCTGGCACCAGCTGTTGGGCCATGGAGTCCTCCTGATGAACACAAACCCTTCACGGAGCACCAGTGTCACACAAGGTCACTATGCCACCGTGATGGGGCAAGACAGAAACAAGGCCACACCATAAATAAGTTGAGCACGGACAAAAACAAGAGCACTGTGAAATCACAAAAATGGCCCAACATTACCTCTGCTGTTTCACACGAGAGATTGCTGTTTCTTTACCAATGACAGCTTGCTGGCCCTGCCCTGTTCCCTGACCTGCTTGATAAAAATTATGAAGATACCCAATTGTAGAATTGCCCCCACTTCCTGACAGCACCCAGCCAGAGCAAAACTTTGCTCCCTGAAACATTTCTTCAAATCACCTCCTACAAGCCCAAATCCTACAAGATGCACCCGCCAACACACACACCACTTACTGCAACCCTCCATGGTATGCAGTCGCCTTAGTTGCAACAAGTACCAGTAAACCCAAATTTGTTCCACTACTGGGATGTTCCCAGCCATCTCTGGCAGGTGGCACCAACAGGATTAAGAAACTTGCTCAAGATCACTAACCTCAAAGTGGCAAAGCCAGGACAGGAACTGGAAGCTTCTGGAAGCAATGCCCAGGTTTCTGACCACTACAACACTCAGCATCTTTAGACACTGACTTTGTAACATGCCCTATTTTTAGTGAAGAGTTAACCTCACCCAAAGAGAGGTCTTGCCTCTCTGGCTACTGGGAGGTGATCTCCAGGCCCTGGAATGTCCTGTCTGACAACCGTGTCTTTGTTTGCTGGGGGACTTTGGCCACCCAAAGGTGGAACTAAAGACTTTAGAGGAACTAAAGACTAAGAGTGTTAGTCCAGGAAAGGCTGGAGAATACAGGTCAGTCACACGGGCAGCATCTGATTGAGCCTTAACTTTTCTGGTTGACAATGTTCTGTGCGTATCATCATATTTTGTAGCCAGGAGAAGGTGACACCACCCAAAACTCCACAGGGAGACGATGCCTGCCTGGAAGCCCCATGATTGGACCGCTCCCAGACTCTGTCCTGTGTGTCTCTTCTTTTAGCTGATTCTAATTTGTATCCTTGCACTATAATAAAACTGTGATCGTGAGTTTAGTGCTTTCCTGAGTTCTGTGACCCATCCTAGCAAATTATTGAACCTGAGGGTGGGTGTCAGCACTCCCAATTTGCAGCCAGCTGGTCTGAACAGAAGGTGGTCCGGGGGCACTCCTGAACTTGCAGCTGGTGACTGAAGTCAGGGCAGTCTTGTGGGGACTGTTCCGTCAGATGGTAGAGTTTGGTAACCCTCCCTGCAGAGGGGGTCAGAAGTCTTGGGAAAATGTGGCAGTCTGGAGGACTGTGCCCTCAACCTTGGGGTTTGGCCAACTCCAGGCACCTCTGCTCTGGACAGTGGGAGAGGGTGCAAGTAGAAAAAGACACTCCTTCCATTTGGGGAAGTTTCAATAAAGCCAGACAGATGGCTGAGAGTTCCACACAGTCACCAGAGTGGGCCAGGCTGAAGATCAAGGGCATACCTGCCATGTGAGTGTGTTTGTCTGTCTCATACCCTGACGCCTGACTAGCTACCATCATCCCAGGCCCCCTGACTACTCGAGGGCCAGGAGGCCCTGGCAATCCCACCCTGATCCAGTAAGGACTGTGGCTGCAGTGGCACTCAAAGTGCAACTCTTCCCTCTGTCTCCAGCTTGTCAGCCAACCCGTCAGACTCTGACTCATCAAGCCTCCACGATTGTGTGAGCCACCGTCAGGCCCCCACCCAGGGCTCCCATGTGAATTGCACAATGCTCTTCCTGCAGCCTGTGGGCCCCTCCCGGGCCAGGCCCAGAGACAACCAGCAGAGACAGGAAGGCCCAGCAGGCTGAATGTCTGTCACCACCAGTCCCAAGGGCTGGCACTCTGCCACCTGTTCAACACAGGCTGTGGCAGTGGGACTAGGGAACAATATGGACTGAGAGGCATTTTTTTTCCTGATCGAATAATTGGAGTCATCTCAACAATGCAAGAATGGTTGTATATTAGAAAACTTACAAATTTTTGAACAGTGTATAGACTAAAGGGAGAACAACAACAATATAAAAGTAACTGCTTGAAAAAATTCAACACAAACTCAGAATTTATGAAAAGCTTGTAATAAATCAGGGCATTTACTTAACCTGATGTAGGGTAACTGTGATGGTTAATTTTATGTGTCAACTTGGCTGGGCCATGGTGCCCAAATATTTGGTCAAACAGTATCCTGGAGGTTTCTGTGGGAGGAGATTAACATTTAAATTAGTGGATTTTGAGTAAAGCAGATAACCTTCTGTAATGTGGTTGGGCCTCTACCAATCAGTTGAAGGCCTTATTAGAACAAAGACTGACCTTCCCCCAGCAGAAGGAACTCTACCAGCAGAGGGCCTCTGGACTCTAAGTGCAGCTCTTTCCTTAGTCTCCAGCCTGTCAGCCAACCCCATCAGACTTTGGACTCAACAAGCCTCCACCATTTGTATGAGCCAATTCCTTAAAATACCTCTCTCTCTCTCTCTACATATATATATATTTATACATAGAGTCATATATAGAGAGTCATACATATATAATTATATATAGTCATATAAATATAGTCAGATATATAGCCATTAAGTATGAAATGTCTGATTTCCTTGAGTACTAAGTTTGACAGTTGATATCTCTGACATCTTCACTTTGACACTTCTTGTTTTACTTTTATTGTGAAGGTACATCCTCATTCTTTCAAACGCATGGTTTTTGGCTTGTGATTATCTTTAAAATTTTTATAGCAATTTTTGTGAAACCATGGATAAGCAAAAAATTCATGTTATTTTCAAATATGAGTTCCATCATGGAACCAATGCTGTGCACACAACTTGAAATATCAGTGAAGTGTTTGGGAAGGATGTGGCTGATGAACGCATAGTACGTTAACGGTTCCAGAAGTTCTGTTCTGGTGATTTTATTTTTTTATTATTTTTGTTTTGTTTTCTGTCTCTCGCTCTCTTTCTCTCTTTCTCTCTTAACAATAGTTGTCTGAAGAATGAGCATTCTGGTGATTTTAATCTTGAAAATGAGCCATGTGGGTGACCTGAGACCAAGGTGAATAATGATGTAATGGAAGAGAATTCAACTCAACCTATGTGTGAATTGGCAGCAAGGTTTGACATTATTATTCCAACAATATTGGACCATTTGAAACAAATCAGCAAGGTAAAGAAGCTGAATAGATGGGTACTTCATGAATGAAATGAGCATCAAAAGAGAAATCGTCTCTAAGCTTGCCTTTCTTTGTTGTCAAGACATAAAGGTGAACCATTTCTACACCGTACTGTTACGTGTGATGAAAAATGGATTCTTTTTGACAATCGCAAGTGTTTGGCACATGGTTGGATAAAGATGAAGTGCTGAAACACAGTCCAAAACTGAATATTCATCAAAAAAAAGCTAATGGTGTCTGTTTGATGGTCCAGCACTGGTATTATCCACTACAACTTCATGAAAACTGGTCAGTCGATTACAGTGGGTGTCTACTGCAACCAATTGGACAAAATGAGGATGCTTGCAATTAAGCAGCTGAGACTGGTCAACAGAGACAGGCCAATCCTCTTACAAGACAACTCTGGATCCACATGTCGCACACTGACTACCACTTCTTCCAGGCTTTGGACCACTTCTTGCAAGGAAAAATATTCAATTCTCAACAAGCTGTGTTAAATGCCTTTTGTGATTTCATCGCCACTAGCTCTCCAGGCTTCTTTGCTGCTGGCATAAACAGGGCGCCATTAATATAGCAAAACTATGTCAATATTTTAGGCTTCTACTTTGATTAATTGTACTGCTTCTTATTTGTGATATAATAAACTATACATTTGATTTGAAATTGGACATTTCATATTTAATGATCTAAAAATACACACACACACACATCCTGTTGGTTCTGTTTCTCTGCAGAGCACTGACTAATGCAGTATCCATTTGATGATAAAACAAAATCCTGTCACCCTGAATTATGAAATCTTAGATTCATTTCCTTAAATTTCAGGAAGAAGATCAGGATGCCCACCAACTCCATTTCTTAACAATGGTTTCCTGGAACTCCTTCAGTTTCTGTGGGACAGGAATTGAGGCATGACTCCACTGGTCCTCTGCAATCAAGGTATGGGTCCAGGCTGCAGTCATCCCAAGGCTCGACTGGGAGGCAGGTCTGTCTCCAAGCTCACACATGTGGCTGCTGGCAGGATTCAGTTCCTCACCGGCCATTTGTCCTGAGGCAGCTGGCTTTGTTAAAGTGAGCAAGCAAGAAAAAACAGAGAGAGAGAGAGAGAGAAAGAGAGAGAGAGAGAGAGAGAGAGAGAGAGGAGTGTGTCTGAGGGACATTCTAAAGCAAAAAATACCCAAATTATGTGACAGATCAGATGCAGGGGCTTAAGGAAGATGAAGGTCCACAGAAGATTCTGAGGTTTTAGTCTGAAAAACCAGTGGTGGTGAGAGCAATGGCGTGCTCTAGAAAGAGCACG